TTTCAAATGACAAAAATACTAATAGGGGGAGTTCCCCTAGCCCCGGACGCTTAAGGTTTTTCTTAAATAAATCTCTCTACCTGTGCACGCGCGACTCAAACGCGTAGAAAACTTATTTTTATTCCTTTTGTCTCCTCTAGGAGATACGCAGAATATAACTAATTATTGCAGATATAACTAATGTCCGTTATTAGGTGCCGTCCGGCGTTAATGGAACTCCCCCTATAAATATTGTATCGCAGAGAATTTTATTCACAAATATGATACAATAAATATTCCTCTCTATAAATAGAAACTAGAACAGAGCAACGTCACCGTGACGTGTACATTGGTACGATTATTCGAAAAATTTATTACAGAAAGTATATCCCGCTCAATGACATATTACATATTCCATGGTCTTCGTTAACGAGACGTCCACCTTCGGAATAGGAAAAATTACAGCAGGACAGCGGGCGTATTTAGATCGTTAACAGAATGAGAGAACTATTAAAGATGTCGTTCGATAATGCGTGAAACGATCTTCAGGCACCGGTTCCATTACACGCGAAGAACACGCGAGTTTCGGGATCGATGAACCTCGAAACAACTATCGAAGACCGTGAACGCGTAACCTTAAGTCGTTTTCAAGAAAGTCATGCATACTTAATCGACCATTCACATCGTGTCGATGTGTGACATTCCGTTGCGTGCGTGTGTGTGTGCTCTCTCGATAGTTATGCTACGATTCAACGACACAATGGCGAGAGGATCGATCGAAGGATTCGACCGATTGATCCTTCGATCAATGGTGAACGCCGTTAAAGAGGGATCTAGGTTTCGGCTAACGATTTTCAACTAATGACGATCGATTTTTGGGCAAATTTCCATATCGACCAATATCTCCTAATTTTTATGACGAGGTGAATTGTAAATTAGGCGATGAAGAGTCGAATTTTGGAACGCCGTTTACTGTTGAAGAGGGATCTAGGTCTTGGCTGATGATTTTTAATCACTGGCAATCGATTTCTGGATTAATTTCCATATTGATCGAGCTCCGTCGAGATTGTGGAATAATTCTAAATGGAGGAGAGCTGGTACGAGTGGACGAATTGTGAATTATGCGATCGAGATGCTCAATTCTGGTGAGAATGATGGAAATTGAGAGTTGGCTTTTGATCCTTTTGATGAAGAATAGGAGCGATTATCAGAGTGACCTATAGTGATTGGTACGACTACACAGCGGTTCGTGCAATGGACAAAAGTAAAAAATCTGAGGTGTTTGATTCACAATCTTTCGTATCTTAAATTGTTCATTTGAAATTATATTTAAACTATATAATTTCAAATGAAATTTATTCCAAATTTCTCATTATTTTTTCAAACACGTGTCACTGGCGGAATGTTTATGCTTTTAATTTGATTTTTATAAATTGTGTTCAGTACTGTCATACCTTCAATACCTGCGGAGCAATTTTTTTCATAGTACTAACAACTTGTACAAATTCTTGTGTAGAATGTTTATTAACTTTGACGAGACTTTTAAAAAATACCACCGTAATTTTTTCGTATTGATTTAGGGAACACTAAACTTTACATTAATACCAATTTCAGCTGCCCGAATTTGCCCGAAAAGCCGTGGCTGGATGAATTACGAATTAGACGACGGAGAGTCAAATTTTGGTGAAAATGAAGGAAACCGAGAGTTGGTTTTTCATCCTTTCGATGAAGAATAGGAATGACTATGATTATAAACGTGGAAGAATAACCAAGTGAAATATGAAGAAGTATATACATAAATAATCCATGTCTTACAGGTGGAAGAATCTTCTTTTTCTATGACAATGGAGCAATTTATAATTTGCGAACGAACGAATAACGTTAAATAAAAAGATTAAGAAGCAATACAGCAAATTTAACGAATAATAATCTTAATTTTCAAACGAAATTATCGTTTCTGAAGACGAACAAAAGGATTTATACAGAAAGTAAATGATTATTTTTGACATAATTTTGGATTATTTAATCATGAACAGAACGTTTACAAAATTACGAAGCGTGAGCTTGCTCTTGAGGCATTAGGTATAAGAAAACGATTAAAAAGTGCATCGAAGGAAAGGTAAAACTCTGTTAGACATCTCATTAGACCTCGAACTAATTACAGGACAATTTTTCATTACTAACTTTCTATCCGCGAAGTCGATCTTTCCAACGAAGTATGTCGTTATCGATCTTCACGTATCTCCCATTAGTGGCAGCAACTTTTACGCGACTTTCTTCAAATTCCTTCTTTTCACACATCATTGTACGTACTTGACCAATAGAAAAACTACACACAAAAAGCAAGATCGAAAATACATTCTTAACATTTTCGATTATTCAAATATTCACGATTTCGTTCTCCAAAATGGCCGCTGTTCAACTTGAAACATTTCCATTTCGATCAACTGCGCGACTCTCCTTATGTCACTCATTTAAAATGCAAATTTTCGAAGGAATTTCTACAGTAATATTACTTCTTTAAAAACTTCACGCTGTACGAAGAGGATAATAACCACCAAAAAAAAAAAAAACCAGAAAAAATTTAATTTATTCACATCTTTGCTGCGATCATTTTTGTAACGACGTCCACTTAATTGTTTCTAAGTATTGCTTATGTTAAAAGCCAAAAGAATCTTCTGGAATATATATCTACTGAATAACTTTTCCAACTACTCGCCATACACCGATGACCTTTAAATTGATCTGATGCACAAGAAAGACGACCGTCGATCTTGGTAAAACTTACAATAATTGGTGTCATCTCGTATGTACACTACCGGCCGAATATTTGGAATCACTGTGCATTGCAAGCTGCACAAAAATTCCCCCCCAAAAAGGTAGCATTTATGACAATTTTTTAACGAACTTTTTATCATTCAAATCAATCGAAATGAGGTAAAGTGCTACTGATCTCCACAACATCAATTTCAGATCAATAATTAATTAGTAGCAGATTCAACGTTAACGTAAATTGGCAGGTGATCCGAAACTATTGGCCGGTAGTGTACTGTTGAAGCAAATGGTTTACGACTGCTGCATGAAAAATCGACATCCTGGAGTGTTGGTAAGTTTTATGACACGTCCGAAAAATATGGTTTGGGGATGCCTGCGAACACCCCAGGTATGGGAGTGCACACTGTCACCACGCTCCGTAAGCAGTCCTAATTGTGCGCCTATCTTGTCTACGTCTTGTCCAAACATTTTTTTCAATATAATTATTTACCTAGCTTACTCCACACGAGTTTATTTAATATAACCCCTCAACGTGTACATTAGACCGAAATAAAGCGTTATTCGTTAATATCTTCTCGCGTTTCTGCAAATGGTTAAGTAACGTAATCGATTGTTACAAATTCCGTATGAATGACGTTAAAAAACGAACCCTGCTTTTCGTACATATATCTTGAAACTGACTTGACAATCTCATAATACAGGTTTAGAATGTTTCAATAGGATAAACACATTTTAGTTTTTGTCCCGAAATAATTATTCTCCGTCGTTCGAGGAAAGAGAGAATATAATTTCGTCTAATTGCTGTGAGTTAATTAAAGGTTGCACATAAACAAGGTTGTATGTACAAAAAATAAACATTTGTTTTTTCAATATTTTAGAGAATTTCCTACGGTGATTAAATTGTATGAAATTATTCCGAGAAATATTTTCCTAAAATATTACTGTGCAATAATATAATAATATCTAATACAATTTTAGAGAATTTGTTACAGTGATTAAGTTGCGCAATTTTTTTTTACAGAAATATTGTCCTCTACTTTATAATAATACAATAATATTTCATTTATAACGATATTTTACAAAATTCAATTATTTCAGTAACCTTAAAATACGTCTCTGTTTCAGTATTTAACAAATCTTTATTTCAACGTTTTAAGGTCTTATCAATTAACAAAACAATACAGCCATTTGGCACGTAGGACTCTATTTTCATGGCCAGCTTGGAATTCTCCTGCACGCAAAGTGACGAACGAAAGACTCGTTTCGAGAACAATTTGTTAACATCCGTGGACAGAGTGAATTAACAGGATAAAAGAGGAAAGCGTAGAATCAC